GTGTCGGGCACTCGCCTTGAACAGAGCAATGCAACCTCCTCCTCCTCCTCCTCCTCTTCCTCCTCCTCTACCTCCTCCTCCTCCTCCTCCTCCTCCTCCTCCTCCTCCTCCTCCTCCTCCTCCTCCTCCTCCTCCTCCTCCTCCTCCTCCCCCGCCTCGTCTTAATCCCGCCTCCTACCCTGCTCGCTTCTCTTCTCTTTCGCTCTGTCTGAGGCCTCCTGTGCTGGGCCTTCGTTTGTGCTGGAGCGCCGCTGAGTGCTGATCCCTCCGCTCTTCCTGCCTCCTCCTAGGGCTCCCAGCTTCGCGCTTCGCGCTGCGCGAAGAGCGAAGTGCGAATAACTTCGCGCTCTCGCGCCGCCTCCCAGGGGAGAGGAGGAGGAGGAGGAGGAATCGGAGCCGAAGCGCGAAGCGCGGAGCGCGAAGAACTTCGCGCCCTCGAGGGCGCCCTTGCTCTTCCCTCTCCCTCCGATCCCCTGCGCACCCTGGCCTGCAACCTCCCGCTTGCCTACTGGGTGCCTCCTACTTCGCCTCTGTAAGGGCTGCCAGCTGCGCAGCTGTCGCCGTGTTCGTGGGCCCGCTGGAAGTCCAGCGGGGTGCGGGGCTAAAGAAGAGAGGCCACAACTAAACCTTGCGGGGCTGACAACTGCACAACTGTCGGGACATGCATGTGGGTTCCTAGAAGGTCCAGCGGAGTGCGGAGCAAAGGGACCACCACAACTAGACCCCGTTTCCCTGGTAGCTGTCGCTACCTTCGTGGGTTCCTGGGAAGTGCAGCGGAGTGTGGGGCTAAACGGGCCCACACTAAACCTCGCCTTTTCGGGGGCTGCCAACTGCGCAAGTGTCGCCACTTCTGTGAGCTCCTGGGAGGTCCAGTGGAATGCGGAGCTACAGGGGCCCCAACTAGACCTCGCTTCTTGGGGGCTGCCAACTGCGCAACGGTCACCAAATTTGCGGGCTCGCGGGAGGTCCAGCAGACGCGGGAGTAGAGGGACCCAAACTAGACCTCGCCATATTCGAGGCTGCCCACTGATCAACCGTCGTGGGCTCATGGGAATTCCAGCGGGTTATCCGGGGTAACTCGGGTCCGGGGTAACTCGGGCTTGGATTCCCGAAAGACGAACCCGAAATATCCCTGACCCGAGTTACCCCTGATGTTTCGGGGCTCTGACTTCCGCGTGCTCACGGGAGGCCCAGCGGAATCTAGTCCTGCGCGGATCCAGACGTGACCTCGCCGTCTCTGGGGGCCGCCAGCTGCGGAACTGCCGCCCGTGACGTCAGCCCACGGGAGGTCCACCGGCGCGCGGCCCTTCGCGGGCGGACCCGCACGAGGTCCGATCGGCTGCGCCTCGCCCGGGACGCTCGGGGCGCCGGCATCGTCCAGACCGGCTTCCGAATGCTTCAGCCCGCGCAGCTCGTCTGCGGCTCAAGAGCTTTTTCCCCCCCGGCCATGTCAATACTCCGAGTTGCCACTCAGCCCGTCACGGAACGCAACGCTTGCCTTCTGGACAACAACGACCTCGGGCAGCTGGGGACAGCCTCCACCTCCCTACACAAAGTGGTCTCCATCGCGCTGACACTGTGGGCCATATGGGACCCCTCTGTGCCATGCGGGGCCCAGTGGGTCGGCAGCTGCGACCAACAAAGCCGACCTGTGATTGCCAAGACCGCGACTGGCTGCCCAAGCTGCACCTTGCCAAGTCGGCGGCGGCGAAGGCATGGGCCGCCTTCCTGGCCTTCCTCACCCGCCCTCCCCGTGCAAAGCCCAGCCTCTCGCATCCATCGTCCGCCCCCCCCCCCCCTTCCGTTCACGAGCGGGAAGACCTGTGACTGCCACCATGTTTATGGTGCAGTTCCCTACCAACTTTCCTTTTGCAGCAGCCTTCACAACAGGATTCCTTGTGTGGCGATCCTGCAAGGGCATTTGAAGTGTGGAAGGAATCCTTGTTGTCAAGGGCTGCCGCAAAGGGACATCAGGTGTGTAACCAAGTGCAGATCCCCCCAAAATGTAATCTGTTTGTGAGGTCACCACAGAAATAATTATTTTGTTAAGGATGCCGCAAAAGGATTCAAAGTGTGGGGGCTGCACCATAGGAATAACGACAGTCATAGAACTTCCTAGCTTTGTGCTACTCTTCCTTTTGAAAACACATGTGCTCCTGTTGTTCCCAACCAACCTGTTGTTGGGTCTTCATTTTGCAGAGACTGCCCCCGCGATCCTCATTCCTTCCTTCCTTCCTTCCTCCTCCCCCTCTTCCTCCTCCTTCTCCTCCTCCTCTTTTCTTCCCATCCCTGCCTTTGCCTCCCCCACCCAGCACAGAGCTTCGTGGCCCCATAGGTAGCTCTATCTAGGGCCCCAGTGGCGGTGTCCTCATGCGCTCCCCCCCAACCAGCACAGCGTGTCGTGGCCCCATAGGGAGCTCCACCTAAGGCCCCAGTGGCGGTGTCCACATGCGTCCCCCCCCCACCCAGCACAGCGCTGCGTGGAGCTCTACCTAAGGCCACAGTGGCGGTGTCCACATGCGCCCCCCCCAACACAGCGCTTCGTGGCCTCACAGGTAGCTCCACGTAAGGCCCCTGTGGCGATGTCCTCATGCGCCCCCCCCACCCAGCACAGAGCATCGTGGCCACCTAGGGAGCTCCACCGAAGGCCATCGTGGCGGTGCCCACATGCGTCCCCCCACCCAGCACAGCATGTCGTGGCCCCATAGAGAGCTCCACCTAAGGCCCCAGTGGCGGTGTCCACATGCGCCCCCCCCCACCCAGCACAGCGTTGCGTGGCCCCACAGGAAGCTCACCCTGAGGCCCCAGTAGCGGTGTCCTCATGCGTCCCCCCACCCAGCACAGCGTTGCGTGGCCCCATGGAGAGCTCACCCTAAGGCCCCAGTAGCGGTGTCCACATGCGTCCCCCCACCTGGCACAGCGCTGCGTGACCCCATAGGGAGCTCTACCTAAGGCCCCAGTGGCGGTGTCCACATGCGTCTCCCCACCCAGCACAGCGTTGCGTGACCCCATAGGGAAGCTCCACCAAGGGCCTCAGTGGCAGTGTCCACATGCGTCCCCCCACCCAGCACAGCGTTGCGTGGCCACAGCAGGGAAGCTCCAGCGAAGGCCCCACTGGCGGTGTCCACATGCGCCCCCCCCCCACCTGGCACAGCGCTGCGTGGTCCCATAGAGAGGCTCCACCAACGGCCCCAGTCGCAAAGTTCGCATGCGTACTCAGTACAAAGCTTCGTGGCTCATAGGGAGCTCCACCGAAAGCGATACTCTCAACTGCAGTACCCACAAGTGCAGATGGTTGGGTCCTTCGCCCGGCTAATTCATGATTTTCATGCTTCCCTCTCTGGCTTTCCTGGGCTCAACACGCCGCCACTGCTGTAAATCCTGATAGTTTGACTCCCTGGTATAGGATTGCCACAAAAAGGACCTTCGAGTAACGTTTGCCACAAAAAATAGCCTGGCGAAGGACCCAACCATATGCAGTTGTGAGTAACGCAATTGTGGGTATCGTTTTCGGTGGAGCTCCCTGTCGGGCCACTAAACGTGTGAGGGGTGTGCCAAGATGGGTTGGCGGGTACGCATGCGAACACCGCCACTGGGGCCTCCAGAAGGG